TCTTGATCTTCATTGTTCCCGCACCCAAAAATCACAACTTGTTTTGTCTCCCAACAAAATCTTGCTACCCTTCCTTTCCTCATATGTGTCAAACTTCATCCTATTTGAACACACATGAAACGAGCTTCTGGAATGTAAAATCCAAACTAAAGTAGAATTCTTACCCGAAGAATTTTCCACTACTTCCCCGTTACACTCCTCATATGTAACCGTCAAAAGTTCATCATTGGCTGTGCTTGAACTTTTGGCATTCTTCATCTTGTTCTGCTTCTCTTCCAATGGTCCGCAGACCCACACTTGAAGCGCCCTTCATTGTCCTTGAATTTAGGATTCCTCCCATTGCCTTTTTTGCCCTTTTGCTTACTTGAACGACACTACTCTCCGGTCTATGTTAATAGACCTGCACCTTGGGAGCTATCTCTAGAACTTCGAGCCAACCCGTGATGCACCAAGTCTTGCACCACCAACTCAAAATTGAGAGTACTCTTGCTGATCATCAGCTTCCTCTGGAAGTGTTCATAGGATGAAGGCAACGATGTCAACAACATCAACGCCTCATACTCCTTGCTACCACATCCACCTTCTGCAAGTCCTCAATACACCTATTAAAGGTGTTAAGATGCTCCGTGAGATTTCCACCCTCCTCCATACAAACATTTAGGAGAGCTTGATTCATGAAGCAGTTGTTTGATAGTGACTTTCCTTCAAAAATCCATTTGAGCTTTTTCCGTGTTTGCTTTGCGATGTCTTCCATCACCTTGATGGACCCCTTGGCCAACTCGCCGAGCACATCCCTTTCTTTCATTGTCATGGTTTCCGGTCTTGTCTCGTCACCTGCCAAGATAGCAGTTGGACCTTCATGGTCTAGGTCATGTTTCATTCTCCTTTGCCATAGTGTGAAGTTCTCCTTCCTTGTGAATGTCTTCACCTTGAGCTTCATGTTATCCGTTTGTGGTGTCTACATTTGGGAGTTTTCTCCCGTTGCCTTCTTGTCGGCTGCCATCATCAACACTTACAAAACACCCTTAAAACTATAAGAGCCTGCCACGAACCACGGCTCTGATACCACTTGTGGTGCGGAAACACTCCAAGACTTTGTCGTTGATGGACTATGCGATAGTACACACACAAACCCTTTGAGGTACACAACCACGAAGAGAGTAAGCAAACACACAAGAACAAAAAGATTTATAGAGGTTCGGCCTCGTGCCTATGTCCTCTTTGGTGATCCCTTCCATAAATTTCACTAGAAGAATAGGAACAACTTTGGTTACAACAAGAAACCCATTAGCTTTCGATCACCTCAAACTCTAGGTCTTAATTTCTCTCACACCCTTACTCAAACCCTTTGATGCCATTGTAAACACTCAAGAATTCACCCTTGAATTCAATCTTATGTTTCTCTCTTCAATTAACCTAGCCTTAAAAGTTCTATTTATAACTCCTAGGACTTGGGTTACAAGTTTACTAGGAATAGGAAACTAAAACTGTATTAAATTGTACTAGAGAACCCCCAAATAATAGGAAACCACATCAAAACATGCTAAAACGCCAAAAACAGCGCGTGAGACTACTCACATGATGACGGGTTGTCGTCGGGATTGTACGATTCCTCTTCCTCCCGCATCTATGGTGACCCAATATTTAACAGTCCAGTTGTGGCCTAATCCCGTTACGGTACGTAGCATAACTTTGTGGATGTATTAGCCGAGCCTTTGTGAAAATATATTGGTAAATATCTATCGGATGTTAAAAAAAGAAAAAAAAAACTGAAGTTTTGAATTATTAGCTTCAAGATTTACCCCACGATTAAGTAAATATTCAAAAAATTATTAGTTTTTATTACATGATTCATCGATTACATCTTTGTTGCACTGCTTTGGTGTGCGCATTGGTCACTATAGGGCAAGTTTTATCTTGGTTAAGACATGATATAATTATTGATTTAACTTACAAAGTTTATTTGTGCAGTTCCGAAACGTAATGAGTCATCATCATTCGAGGTAAAACTTTGAAATAACAACTTGTTAACTTTAGAGAGATGGGTTATCAGTCCACTTCTAGTAACATCGATGTTGTTCACAATTTAACCACTTACAAATTCCAGTAGGTGTGTTGTTTTATCAGAAGACCTCGGTGTTATTAGGAGTGGTATTATTCATTATATATTGTATTTATTTTTTCAAGTTTTCGATGTGGGGTTAATTTAGGGTGGTTTAACCATTTATGGGGTTAATTTCAAGCATTACTAATGCATTTGTTTGATGTAGTATCCAATAGCTCCCTGGGGCCTGCAAAGGCTGTTGGAATATATGAAGCAAAATTATGGCAATCCTCCTGTATATATCCATGAAAATGGTATATATCTCTCTCTATCTAAATGCTGAAATTTAATCATAGTGCTATAATGCATGTATTTGAATATAAAGTGTTGGAACAATTTGCAATTTAGTTTAGTGGGGTACTTTTAGTTTCGCTCTTCTTTTTGTAATGAAGTCATATAGTTTCAACTTTTTAAAATCAAACAAAATTTAGTTAGATGATAATGTTATAATAGGACATTAAAGAACAAACCTAATTGAAAATAATTTATGGTTTCTTTAATTTTTCCCTTTTTTCTTTGGATAGGGAATTTTTTCTTTATTATGAATCTAACTTTCCATGTCTATATTCTTTTCATCTATCTCATTATCTAAATGGAAAAGTATTGGCATCCTATATATTTTAGGTCAACAAACTGCACGCAATTCATCATTGGAGGATAGGTCGAGGATAAAATATGTGCAGGGACATATCCAAGCTTTGCTTGAAGCTGTAAGGTATACCTATTTTCTGCCAGTTATAATTTAACCCAAGGGTCATAAGATTTATCTTATTCTCTCCATTTGAAGTCTATAGCTATCCGAGTCCCAAGAAAGTGTTCATACAAGGGAAATTTAATTGCCACCCTCGATATGAAAAGACTACTTTGCTTTAACAAGAAATGACAATTATTGAAGCCAAAGAAATGACTGATTTTGTTAATAATAATTAATTACACGAACAAAATTGAAATTAATTAGGTCAAGACCCAAATTGTTGTTTAAATAGGCAAAGTGAGAATTGGTAAGATATGTTTCACTTGTGAAGTCTGTATTTTATTTTATTTTATTTTTATACAGGCGATAGTCTAAATTACAAAGAAATGAAGGATTTCTCACACACATTAATCAAGGTCTTTTTCACTGGGCTATAACCGTTGACCACTTATGAAGTCTTTAACTATCTGATATCATCTTTATTTGCTTTTTTCTTGCGTGCTTTTTCTTGTTTTATACCATAGTTTGACAACTAACTAGTACTTGTTCTTAATTACTGACGGATGTTATATGAAATCTTTACTTTTGGAAGGAATGGATCAAATGCCAGAGGCTATTTTATATGGTCCTTTTTGGACTCCCTTGAGCTATTGGGTGGCTATGAATCAAGCTTTGGCCTATACTACATGGATTTGGACGACCCTGATTTAAAAAGACAACCCAAACTCTCTGCTCATTGGTACTCCCAATTTCTAAAGAGCAAGAACCTCACCAGCTTAGATGGATTTCTTGAATCCCTTTCCCATGGTTACCATTCTCAGTAAACTTTATTTTACATAGTAAAATACTTATGTTTAGAGCTTGTAGCTTAAGTGGTTAAGAGCACATACCCCTCTCCTCCAAGAATGCTTGTATCCAAAATAATTATGCAACATTAAGATACATCACTT